ATAGTGTGTTAGCCTGTTTAATACATAGTGGTACTGTGATAGAGTGTTAACCCATTATATAGTGTTACTGTGGTAGCGTGTCAACCCATTACATAGTGGTACTGTGATAGCGTGTTAACCCGTTACATAGTGGTACTGTGATAGCGTGTTAGCCCATTACATAGTGTTACTGCGATAGCGTGTTAGCCCGTTACATAGTTGTACTGTGGTAGCATGTTAACACGTTACATAGTGGTACTGTGATGTGTGTTAGCCTGTTTAATACATAGTGTTACTGTGATAGAGTGTTAACCCATTATATAGTGTTACTGTGGTAGCGTGTCAACCCATTACATAGTGGTACTGTGATAGCGTGTTAACCCGTTACATAGTGGTACTGTGATAGCGTGTTAACCCGTTACATAGTAGTACTGTGATAGCGTGTCAACCCATTACATAGTGGTACTGTGGTAGCGTGTTAACCCATTACATAGTGGTACTGTGGTAGCTTGTCAACCAGTTACATAGTTGTACTGTGATAGCGTGTTTGCCCATTACATAGTGGTACTGTGATAGTGTGTCAACCCATTACATAGTGGTACTGTGATAGCGTGTTAACCTGTTACATAGTGGTACTGTGATAGCGTGTTTGCCCATTACATAGTGGTACTGTGATAGCGTGTTAACCTCTTACATAGTGGTACTGTGATAGCGTGTTTGCTCATTACATAGTGGTACTGGGGTAGCGTGTTAACCCATTACATAGTGGTACTGTGGTAGCTTGTCAACCAGTTACATAGTTGTACTGTGATAGCGTGTTTGCCCATTACATAGTGGTACTGTGATAGTGTGTCAACCCATTACATAGTGGTACTGTGATAGCGTGTTAACCTGTTACATAGTGGTACTGTGATAGCGTGTTTGCCCATTACATAGTGGTACTGTGATAGCGTGTTAACCTGTTACATAGGTGTACTGTGATAGCGTGTTTGCCCATTACATAGTGGTACTGTGATAGTGTGTCAACCCATTACATAGTGGTACTGTGATAGCGTGTTAACCCATTACATAGTGGTACTGTGATAGCGTGTTAACCTGTTACATAGTTGTACTGTGATAGCGTGTTTGCCCATTACATAGTGGTACTGTGATAGTGTGTCAACCCATTTCATAGTGGTACTGTGATAGCGTGTTAACCCATTACATAGTGGTACTGTGATAGCGTGTTAACCTGTTACATAGTTGTACTGTGATAGCGTGTTTGCCCATTACATAGTGGTACTGTGATAGCGTGTTAACCCATTACATAGTGGTACTGTGGTAGCGTTTTAACCCGTTACATAGTGGTACTGTGATAGCGTGTTAACCCGTTACATAGTGGTACTGTGATAGCGTGTTAACCCATTACATATTCGTACTGTGATAGAGTGTCAACCCGTTACATAGTGGTACTGTGATTGCGTGTTAACCCGTTACATAGTGGTACTGTGATAGCGTGTTAACCAGTTACATAGTAGTACTGTGATAGCGTGTCAACCCATTACATAGTGGTACTGTGATATTGTGTTAACCCATTACATAGTTGTACTGTGATATTGTGTTAACCCATTACATAGTGGTACTGTGGTAGCTTGTCAACCAGTCAGTGTCACCCTATCCATTTATTTATTGTGGCATCTTCTTGCTGGTCTGTTTCCCGGAAACATGCCCCATCCTTGCCGTCGCCTCGATACCACAGGTTAATTCATTTCCTGACATCATACTTCCTACACTCACAAACACCATGCATGCGATGCTTTGATTGCCAGTAGTAATTAGCTAACATTCATTGCATTCACCGTAATGAGCTCCAAGTGTATTGTACAACGATATTCGTTTTGGAGTACTCTAGCAACTTTTCGGTTTGTTAAATAATATAATATAATATCCCCTACTCTGACCTACTTGAACAACCAATATACGTCCATATTAGTGAAATAAGTATTCTGTCAACTCGCAGACCACTTCTTTCACTGGCCAGAGGTGCAGTATAGACGCACATGCTGAGTGCGTTTTTTGTTATAGTTGGCGCCCTGTAGACACGTCTAATACAGTCAACCCAGCTCATCTGTACTTCATGATCCAGTCACTCGACTCCAAATTTCGAGAACAATTTAGAAAATGAGACATCTGAGACTGAATAACTGACTGAAGAACTTGGGCTTTGATGATGAAATCCTCCGTATTTCGAAACACGCAATTGGTTGAAAGCAATGAAGGAAAGCTAATCAAAAATGTTAAGTTCATATAAGGCATCGGAACAACCCAATAAACGAAGGCACCTTAGGGAAGTAGGGAAAACCCACGACAATCGCAAGACAACTTTATAAGAACACTGCGCCAAAATCAGGGTATCCAAGATTTTGTCAACATAAAATACAACAAAAACGAAGTAAACAAACTGTTGGGGATTTTGAATCACTTATCTTATCTCCAGCGAACAAAGCACTTCCAAACTAAATAGAAAATATAAATTCAAAACAAGACGTAAAGTATGGTTTGATGAAGACTGCTGGTCATTCCGTAGAGAGTTTAAAAGCTTATCGAACTTAGTCAGAAAATACCAAAATGACTCTTTTATACGTGGCAGATCCTTGAAAAATGCGAAAACTTAAAAAAAAAATACTAGTAAGCAAAAGTAAAAACAGTACAAACAACGGGTTAAACGAAAAATCAAAAGGGGACCGTCGACCTCCTGGAAAATTCTACACTGATTAAAATACGACACTTCTAAGAATCTATCAAGTGATCAGAAACTTCAAAAAGCTACTTCACCCACATAAATCTGATAACAAAATAAATGAGCACCGCAGTTAGCTGTCTTCGACGACGATATTATGATGCTTTCTGAAAAGAAAGAAGACTTGCAGATGTGTCTTGATAAACTATCAGAATACACCAATAACTGGCAGTTGACTGTAAACACTGAAAAAACCCAATGGGAAGTCCAAAGAAACAATGATTAACTTAAATGGCATGTTCTCATTTAAAAAAAGTTTAAGTTGTAAACAAATGGTAAAAATAACTACATTTTTATCACTATTTGATAAACTGATCCCACCAATATTTATATTAGTTTATGGGGAGATGAAAAAAATATATAAATCTGCTATCGATGTACACCTAAGCTACTGGCGGTGTTTACTTGGCGTCTCAAAAAATACTCCCAAAATGGGCATTTACGGAGAAATCGACAGATACCTATTAGATATATTCATCAAGAGACAAATGATCAAATATCGCATAATGAATACAAATAATACTATTTTTGAAGAAGCTGCAGATTTAAACAAGAAAACTAACAGTAAATAGTACAAGTATGGGCGTACATCCATATGGAAACCCAATTTGCTGATATCAACTAATCAGGATTTATTAACAAAAACTCAGTCAAAAATATTGGACAAACAAATTAAAACACCTTTTGAATTATTTTTGAAAAAATGGTATCCATGATGACAATTAGAATAATGCCAGAGAAAAAAATAAAGAAACTGAGAACATACAGAAGTTTCAAAAGAATATTTAGACATGAAAAATACTTGATATCGAGGACATCAAAATGAGAGAACAATTGAATGAAAGCAGATTCGGCAATCACTGTCTAAAAAACCGAAATGGACAGACATACACAACCTAACTCCAATTGACAAAAAAAATGGGCGACTTATGTACTGCTATGGAAATTGAAGACGAGACACAACAGCAAAGAAATTAAACTATTTGAAAACGCAGCAAAAGTAATTAAAAGTTTCACTGTTTTGGCGAAACTCAACAAATTTTCCGTAATCATGGGTTCAAATATAACATTTCTTAATATCATGTTATCAAAGAACATAGACAAATATTTATGTATAAGTCAGCAACTTCCATACCGAGCACAATAAGCATAGTCTGTATAAAATGAAAAGAAAAATTGAAAATAATCTAAATAACCCTCGTTGTTATGTCCAAATTTCCATTATGCCATTTTCTCCTGAAATAATTGACCTTTAACCTCAACTTCTTACTTTTGTAGCTTTATAGTTCCTAGTCGTGTTGTATTTTGTAAGCCTTAGTTTTATTTTTAAAACCATCATGATACTGCTGTACCTTTCTGCGTCAGTGTTGTGTCAATAAAATATATATATACAATGTAGTCGGCAAGAAAAGTCTTTAGGACCACCTAGGTCATTTAATAAAATCAGTGTAACCCATGGCAACGAGGGTTCAGTTATACATAGGAATTTCGTCACCAGTGACTAGCCAAGTCAGCACACATTCTGGAACAAAGAAATAAATGCAGATATTGCTAAAATTACTATTATGGAAAACTGAGGACATAGAATTTAAGAAAATGTTTGAAATGGAAAACTATTTAACGATGCTAACATATATTGATCTTCGCGGGTCGGTTCCGTTTAAATAACCACGTCGAAGTCGAAACACGGAGGCATACTAAACTGAAATTACCAACAAAAAAAGAATCTACAAGTACAATCTTTGCCGAATGAATTAGGGAGGCGAGTACCATTTTATCATAACATGTTCCTTTACAACATTCAGAGAGAATAAATATGAAGAAGCTGGCAAACAAATAAACAATTTCTCTGGTCGTCATTGAATCTTCACAGGTGAGATTGCTATTTGTGAACTTGAATTTTATTAATGATGATGTATTTTTTTCATGTGATTGTACTTTATCTTGTATTCAGTCTCTCTGTCCAATATTACCATATCAATTGTCCAATAAATAAATAAATAAATAAATAAATAAACAAACAAACAAATAAACAAACAAATAAATAAATAAATAAATAAATTAGCTAATCGTATTTATTTTATTCACACTTCTAAACCAGCTGACTGTGTCCTCGTATTATTTTTTCCACACACACCACCTGTCATTATGTCGACAGACCGTGTAGAGGACGCCAACCTATTGCCACCATTGAGGGCGGAGTGTTTGACCTCTAGCCCCTCACGTGATATTTAAAATTCGGCGGTAAGTGAGACAGGAAGTAATCAACTCCATCGTAGAGAGAAGGTGAGATGTATTTTTACTTATGGAAAAAAAATCAGTTGAATGTGGCCGTTATTTTGACTGAAAATAAATGTACTGATATAATTTGTGCTGAGAATTGTGTAATTTGTGTAATACGTGCATTATGTTGTTTGTAAACAACAACGATGATGACATACTGGCACTGCAGGCCGATGATCGGACTACATACATGGTATTTGGACATAGTCGAGTGTACATGGTGTCATGGAAATATGAAATTACTACACTCGCCTGCTATTAAATGTAACACTGCGCTTATCATGATTTCTAGCAGTTCTCGTGTCGGTCTTCAAATCTGAACATGCAAATCGGCGTCACGTGGTAAAAAGTGTTTTAGTTGTCAACCCACCACAGGGACTGTCGATTTAAGATCTAGCAGGTAAAATAAAACAATTGCTTATAGAGCCTAGATATTTATTTAGTGTTGATGTTTTGTTTGATAAAACATACCCCAAAATTACGCTATTAGGATTCATGCAAGGTAGACCTATTTCTGTTCTGTAGCTATTGTTTTTAGCCCTGGTGCATTTCCTGTTAGTAGGGGGGGGGGGGGATTACATGTAGTATACTGTAAAGTGACTAATTTTCACTGGGTTTAAATTTCGCTGATTTACCATTTCAGGCATATTCAGTGGGTATAAATTCACGGTTTTATCATTTAGATAATGTGTTCTATGCTAAATTTTACATATTCACCGGGTTTTAATTTAGCGCATTTTCCAGTAAGCGAAATAAGCAAAATTAAAACCCAGTGAATAATTAACCCCTTTACAGTATCTAATTGTATTATCGAAGGTGCAATCCCAGTAAAGATAGTAGACTACATCAATTCAACTTGAAGAATACAGAGGAAATATCGTGGATGCCTACACTTCTCGGACTGCCAACTCAGTATCTTCAATTTCTTGGCTGGCAAGCGTCTTCTGGCTTTAAACAGTCTTCTGGTTGTACAGTTATTCAATATTTCTATATTTAACCCACATACAATGCAAACAACATGTGATACAAGAGTTGTGATGCTCGTTTTTGTCAGTGTGTTAGCAGTAGCTACTTTTGATTTACCATTTTGAAGGAATTTAAATGTATGCATGCTCCACTCAATTACTCATAAATCCTGTGATATGTAAATTACACTAATTTGTCACTGAAATGCTCATTATTTTAATAGTAAGAATCCTGCGAGTGGTACAAGTCTCTTGTTTGTTTCGCAGTAACCTGGTGTTCGCGATAAACCAACTTTTACAATGAGTGACTTTGGTAGTGAATAGGACTTTGTCGAAGCATAGACCCTCCAGTAGAGGGTCTATGGTCGAAGTAACTGGTCCATTCATCGGAGTTGAGAATTAATGTTTTGTGTGTCATGAACAACTGGTGTTAATCTGGGAATACCATCCGCAGGAGCTATTAATTTATTGCTCTGACAGGAGTTCCTACCCATGCTCTTTTATTACTCCCTAGTTTCTTACTTCGATCAAGGAACATTTGACCATTTATAGAATGGGCTTTGTATCATGCTTCTTGTTATACTGCTTAGTGACATACATGTACATATTAGGTGTTGCAGAAAGAGAGTTGAATATTGTTCATTGAAATTAATAATCCCCAGAACAAATTTCCAATATAGATACAAATTATAGTATGAAAACAATGTATAACTCATTCTCAGCAATAAAATAAATATACAGACTGTATGTATAGTGTATTGCAATACACTAGTTTGTTTGGTTTTACTGTAAAGTGTACCACTAAATAATTTTGAAGACGAAGAAAAGAAAATATGAATCCGATTGTTGGTAAAACAAAGACGCAAAACTCACTACATTGTATAAATTGTAAAAGCATGACAACTTGCACCATTATTATTATACTGTAAAGGGGGTAATTATTCACTGGGTTTTAATTTAGCTTATTTCGCTGACTAGAAAAATGCGCTAAATTAAAACACAGTGAATATGTAAAATTTAGCATAGAACACATTATCTTAATGACGAAACCGTGAATTTAAAACCCACTGAATATGCCTGAAATGGTAAATCAGTGAAATTTAAACCCAGTGAATATTAGTCATTTTACAGTACTTTAATGTTATGTGTATAGTTGATTGATAGCGCTTGTACGTTTGTCGTTTATGAGCTTGCACATAGTGCATGGCCAGAGATGCAGTAAGCCTGGCAGACTTTGACATAATCTTTTATGTGATGATAGTTTTTTTGCTCTATCACATGAAACACTTCCTCCCCAGAGTTAGGTATACTGCAACATGTCACACCCCAGCCACATGGAAAGTCAGTTACAGTATATAAACACCAGCACCTGCCCATAATATGCACACAGGGCACTATCCCACTCAGTGGCCTCCACACAGAGTTGTGATTCAATCAGATCATATGCATGGATTCATTGAATACCATGTACACATATATGCACATATTCTACACCTTTTAAAATGAGAAAAACAAATTTTAAAAATTTGTTTGTTATTTTGAGAAAGCTCTATTAGCCTAAACTTCAGTTCTACATTAAGTACTAACGGGTATTACTATGCCTTCAATTATTATCAGAATTTTAGGTGCTGATATTGGTCACAGAGAAAAATGCCTTGGGGCTGGAGGAGAAAAAGCTGGAACTGGGGAGGTGGTTATGGGTCTTCCAAGAGTAAGAAGAGTAAATCCAAGAAAAACAGAAGTTACTATTCCAGCAGAGCAGAAGAGAATTATTTGGCGAGTTTACAGTGGCCAAGTTTTCCTCTGTATGAAGATTCTGTAGCATCAATTGTTGATCTAACAACAAGCGATGATATTGGTGACGATGAGTTAGATCATCAGATATTGTTCGGTAGTGTCAGGGGTAATGTTGTTGGATTACAGTATTATTCAGGCATGGTAAGTAAAGGAACTGTTCATTTTTTTACTTAGTGTTATTTTGCATACCGGTATGTATTTCTTGTGAATTAAAGCATCTGAATTTGTCAATCTCCTGCCAGGTGATTGAATTGCCGGAAGAAAAAAAAAATTACATTATGTACATATATGGTTATGTTGTCTCGAATAAAGACGTGTTACGTAAAACAATGTTTGAATTGAAGAATAAGTACATCATATAATTAAATTGGTCTAAAAAGCATGATCTCACATCGCACATCATATTGTAGTTTTACCACCAGCGAGTGATCAAACTTCAGTCAGTTACAAATATTAACTGTAATTACAAATATGCATTCCAACAAGGCTGGACGTGAATACCAGTGTGGATAACAACTTGTTTATCTTCCGTCGCTTATCGAGAGAGAGTATCATAAGTCATGGGATGGTCAAATATACATGGCGTATCTTTGAATTGTCATCTCCATTTCACATTTCACTCATTGAGTAGGAATCAAAACAGTGCCCTCAAAAGGTTCTCCTCATACCATAGTGGATTAGTATCACTGTGTCAAGGGTCCACTCAACAGTAAAATAACCCACATATAGGGTACATAACTCTATACCAAGGATTTATAAATCTATGTACATGGCATTGATATTGAATATAACGTTTGATAGGAGATGCTATGTTTGTATTGTTAAACTATTTTGACCCTTCTACACGGTAATGTGCCTGACCAGCTTTTTAACTCTCAATGAATAGAGTATGGAAGTCAGTCATCAAGAACAAAGGGGTTCCTCAATCAAAGTGTTCTATTTTGTTGGCTGATGCTGTAAGGGAAAGTCAACAGCATAGCTTGCGTCGGTAATATGTGACAGGCATTTAAGGCTAAAGCTCACTCTGCATTTACAGGTACCGGTATCGATTCTTTAAATGTGACATTGGACTAAGATCTGCTTTATATTTCAAAACAATGAATATTTGTTGACAGGTTAGTGGCCATGAAATGGTATCATTAGTAAGAGAACCAGAAAATAGATATGATCACAATGCTATTAAAGTAATAGATGTAATGGGTCACCAAGTTGGACATATCAAAAGAGAATTAGCTGCACCACTGTCTAATATAGTTGACGGAAACATTGCCAGAATAGAGGGGTAAGTGTGTACTCATAAATTTGCATTGAACATGCAACTAATATCATGTAATGTCACAAACACTTTCTTACAGAAAAAGCAATATATTATTATTTCATGAAATGCAAGTTCATTTTTGTTGAGATCCTATCTAGTATGACTGACTGGCAGCCATTTTGTTTGACGAACCAATTTTGGACAATTGTGTTTACTAGGGTATATCTCAAATTTACGCTTTCAATTACATTCAAACTTGTTCATAGACAATTGTGTTCTAGCACATCATTTTTTTTTTTTGTGACACAATCCAATCTATGACAAATGCTGTTCAAACTTTATAGATACCTTATATTTCATGTGGCACATAAGCACATATATTTGTTAGATTCAACGTGGCTAAATGTTGGCTTTATTAATGTATTACAAACTTTGAAATGAATTGTTCACTAATGGTTTTTAAGCAGACGGTATAGTTTCATTGAAATTTAGTCTCAATGTGTTGGGAAATATGGGAGTGAAGAACGTCAATGATAATATTTCCTGTTGCATTTCAGAGTGGTACCATATGGTCAAAATAATACTTATAGTATGCCTATTGACATCTCCTTATGGGGTAGAGCTGAAAAAAGAGAAGAAGCTAGTCAGAAACTTAGACGATGTGGATATATGTTGAAGGATCCTGAATATGGTGGTAATAAATCATCAGGTAGTGGTAGTAGTACTAGTACATACAAACCAAAGGCTTCATATGGACCAGCTATTGCCTTGTCAACAGAGCAGGTATTTTATATACATGTAGTCAGACTTAATAACTGTTCTAATAAATGTCATGTGATGTCATTACAAATAAAGCAACATACATAATCAGTTTAATACTAATTATGTAAGGTAATTATGTAAACTTGCTATTGTAATTTTAGGACATTTATTTACCTGACCAATAATTGTTTTTTTGAATATAATCTGTATTTAGGATACTACATGTACATGTATCAGGCTGAACAAAAACAAGTCTAGGTTGAATTCTGGATTTTTAATTAATATCAACATTGACATGTATTTTATCTTATCACCACTTCAATCAAAGTTGTAGATTTTACAGTGGTGATGAAACCTTGAAGTACATGCTGCATCAGTTAAAATCATTAAACAATATTCTCATATAGGGTGTGGTACAACTATCAATAATATGTGACTTTGCCATGCATTTTTAAAATTGTTTAAGTTCTAACTACATTGTATTATCAAAATCAACATAGGAAACATTAAGATGTTCAAAGATCATTTGAATGCAGTGGCAACAAATCATAAAATGTCATATAAATTTAGATGTAAGTGAAAAACACAGGTACAAGGAAACAGCTGTTTATTGCAAACTTTTATATGGGGAATACTTCACATCAGATTTTGATTTATTGCAAACTTTTATATGGGGAATACTTCACATCAGATTTTGATTTATTGCAAACTTTTATATGGGGAATACTTCACATCAGATTTTGATTTATTGCAAACTTTTATATGGGGAATACTTCACATCAGATTTTGATTTATTGCAAACTTTTATATGGGGAATACTTCACATCAGATTTTGATTTATTGCAAACTTTTATATGGGGAATACTTCACATCAGATTTTGATTTATTGCAAACTTTTATATGGGGAATACTTCACATCAGATTTTGATTTATTGCAAACTTTTATATGGGGAATACTTCACATCAGATTTTGATTTATTGCAAACTTTTATATGGGGAATACTTCACATCAGATTTTGATTTATTGCAAACTTTTATATGGGGAATACTTCACATCAGATTTTGATTTATTGCAAACTTTTATATGGGGAATACTTCACATCAGATTTTGATTTATTAAGAAGACTAGTCAAATTGCTGTTTGCAGTTGTACTTGATAGTGTTCTAAAATGCTGGTAACTCAATCACAAATGGAATGTATGGAAATGTTTGGAAATATTTGACTTTTTTCAAACAACCTTGATATCTTGCCAATACTTTTGAATTTGGTATATGGCATATACTACTACAAACAAAATTTATTTGGGAACACAACTTTAAGTAGTACTCAAATGACATAAGTATAAGTAAATGTGTGGTCCATATGTAGATTATCCTTTGATAAGCTTGTGTTAGAGTTAATATAATGCTTAATTGGATAATCATTTTTTTCACTGATTATATTTTTTAGATGAAAAATGAATTAGATAAGTTATTTGATGACAACAAAGACTTTGATCAAACTATTACTGATCAACCCGCTGATGTAAGTAGAAACAAAGCCGCATCCCTCTGTTGCATTGTATCATTTTAATAGAAGCCACAGCTTCTAATACAGATTTTACAGTACTTGATATGGTCAAAATTAAAGATGGTTATGCATCAAATTACGATTGGTTTTATGCTTTGGACCACCAAATTAAATTGGTTTTGTATTTCTCAAAGTAATAACATTACAGGGACAATCTTGAAATCATTTGCATATTCATGAGTCCATGGTGTCAATGAGTGCCGGACATCAAAGAAAGCTACTTTGTGCTTGTTTTATCATGAATGATTCATGAGCACCATAACTTTCAGATTTGATTTTCGGCAAAGTTACATTGTAAGTTATGTACAGTGTTCAAATGTCACATCAGTGTTTTGTTGCAAAAAAATCTGTGATAGATTAAAATGATGTTACATGTATAATGTACTTTGTGACACTGTAAATATTGCCAATGTGCAATTCATGTAATCTACTATGTAATAGAGACGCTTTAAATCATGTGCATTTTATGACTCCTATATGTTTGTATGCAGGCTATAGCCACCACATTGTTTCCACACCAAAAACAAGCATTAGCATGGATGAAGGCTAGAGAAAATAATGAAGATCTTCCACCATTCTGGGAAGAAAAGAATGGCAACTTTATTAACAGTTTAATCAATTTTAAAACTTCAAAAAGACCATCATCTTTACATGGTGGTATTTTAGCTGATGATATGGGATTAGGAAAGACATTAGAGATGATTTCACTAATAATGAGTAATTTCTATGATGCTAAACCTTTGGCAGTACCTGTGGTTGGATTGGAAAAAGACTCCAAGGTAATGCAATATTTACATATTAAATTGTTCATCGTTATTTTCATCTCACATAGAAACGTCTACATGAATCAAAATCACCTGAAATACAACAATTATTTGTATTTTGTATACATGTATTTCTTATGAACTGATGGTCATTGTGTATGTAATTCAATGGTTAGGATACATAGCATGTCATATGTCATTACTCCATGTGAGTCTTTTTTAATGGTTTACTATAATATGAGATAAATTCATTGTAACTTGCCTAAAACCCTCCACATCATCAAAGTCACAGAATATTCAATGAGAGCTGTGTGATACGCTATGAGTATTATTTCATTTGTCAAATTTAATATTTCTAGAAAAAGAGGAATGGGAAGAAGAAAACTAAGAAAACAAGTTCATCATCTGACAATGTTGTAGTCACATTAGATTCTGGTGATGAGTCTGAGACTGTAGAATCTGGAAATGTGAAAGAAGAAGAGATCATAGAGGATGAGGTATTGTTTTGTTTCATTAGTCATTGCTCTGCTGTCTCATCATTATTCTTACAATTTTAGAAATAATTATTAATGTCAGGAACCATTAACATATTGGCTTGATTTCATGCATATTTACTATCACTATAAGATAAGAAGAATCTTTTCTACTCAATATAATAAGCTTTTTTTTACAAGGATGGATAATAAATCAGGTTTCACTATTCCCAGTAATAATATGAGGTTATAACAAGAAAACCGTAAAATATACATAGAGGTACATGTTACGATGATGTAGTATCGTATCGACTAACGTGTAGCAGAGTTTGATGCATGACTGTACTGATTGATGGCATCATACTTTGTGATATTCTTATCATAGCCTTATTATTATACATCTAGTATGTGCTTGTAATAATAATTTATTGATAGATTACAGCCCAAAATGACAATAACAAATATTTTGTGCTGTGTGAATGTTTGCGTGAGTGATGGGATTCAATTTCCATTGCATGCTATAGTGTTTCTGTATTCAATTTAAACAAAGGAAAGTATTCAGATGTGATGTCAATAACCTGGAACAATTTAATGTTGGTGATGTACTGTAAAATCTGTATTAGAAGCCTCATCCTTAATAGACCCATTCTTTTTGAACAATTGAGAAGCAAATATTCACTATTTCTGATATGTGTAGATGCTCTAATTGAAGCCACATCCCTTCTGTTGCATTGTACCATTGTAATAGAAGTTGCAGCTTCTGATACAGATTTTACAGTAATTTACACTTCATAAGGAATGTTTTAGAGTGTTACATAACGGCAAATTCTATAGTTTTCACTGCTAGATGTATAATAATGTGAGATATCAAGAAACCCAGCAGTGTATTTGTCATGCTCTGTGTGGATGCCCAAAGACATAAATTTTACTAATATTAATTTTCAGTCTGATATTAGTGGTGTGGATGAACCATTAGTTGCTATGACATCTAAAGAAGATCCTGCATATAGCCCACATTTGGTGAAGACTGCAGCAAAGACCTTATCACCAGTTGTCATAACAAGTAGACCAACCAGGTGAGTTGAATACTATAAGGTTATTACGAGGATACCTCAAAGTATGTACAAAGACAGTACAGTGGGAGTTATGATTGATGTGCAGTGGAGGTCAATGCAGCGACGTACTGTCTTGAGT